AGAGTGGGAGAGAGACTGGCGGAGGCCAGTGTTACTTACCTGTGGCGCCATCGCTCCAGCTCCATCTTCGTGGTACCTGCATCAAGGTGCCAACTTCACAAGTTAGTACTGGACAGAGAGAGAGAGAAAGAGAGAGAGTTCTTGTTCTTCCTCTTCTAAGTCCACCTTCTCTTCTCACCCTCTCGCCACCTGACTTCTCCGACTACGACAGAGAGAGACAGAGTTGTGACTTGAGACTTGACGACATTGGATCCAGACTTGACATTTGGGATTCAGACAGTTCGACGAGGGACTATTTGGGCTTGTGCCGAAGACTTGGTGTTGACGACATCCCCATCTTCCCCCTCCTCTTGGTCTATTCCCTTCCTCCTCGTCTGTGCATGTTCTGGGCTGGCGCTGTCTTCCTATGTGAAGCGCCAGACCCATTCACACTATGAAACGATGATGATGATGTATGTTCAGGGCTGCATTACAACGTTGATTGTTCGGATCACCGGTATCTAAGTCTTCCGCTGTGCTATCTTATACTTTGTATTGAAAGGTCGGTTCTTGTTCTGGTCTGCACCTATACGGTATGCAACAGTTTGGTATCGGAGCGGACCTCTCATACAGAGGACCCGCTCAATCAAGTAGCCAGCTTGCGATCTATTGATCACTCATTAGTAACGCAACAGTTTGGTATCGGAGCGGACCTCTCATACAGAGGACCCACTCAATCAAGTAGCCAGCTTGCGATCTATTGATCACTCATTAGTAACACATAGAACTTAGTCAAATCTCTGAAATTTTTTCTCAAAACAACTATCTGAACTTTCTGATATTCGCATTTTCGTTCTATCTGAAAATTTCTCATACTAGTAGTTCGTTTTTACGTAACAAATATCTGAAAATTTCTGATAAATAGCATTTCGTTTTGTCTGAAAATTCCCGATAGTAGCATTTCGTTTCTCTGATATTTCGCATACATAGCTGAAATTTATGAAGTTAGTATTTTCGTTCTCTAGGCATATTGGGATACCGATAGAAGTGGTCATATTCTCGGAAACTGGAACTATTGTTTTCTGAATTTCTTTTTGAAAACCGAATCTTGCGAAGCCTACCAATATTGCGTTAGGCATATTCGGAGGTTGCTATATAATCAGAAACTGGATTTCGTTCTTTTCTGAAAATCGCATCTTTACTCCATTTCGCAAAAAAAAAATTCAAGATCGCAGTTTGTAAAAGCCAAAACTTTGCG